TAGGATAGAATCCACCTCACTTTTGATGGCCTCTTTCCACATTGGTCCTTCGGTGGACGTTACGGCTTCCGTATAAGTCCGTGGCTCATTTTCTACCAAACATGTTAGAAAATCCGGTTCATTTTCTACCATACAAGTTAGAATATTCGAATCGAATTCTATCAAGTATGTGAGAAAATCCGGTCCGAAGGATTTTTCAACTCTAGCACGTTTGCTACGTCGGGGTTCGGCTTCTTCACCGGATCCCTCACTAGTATTTTCCATAGCTACGTCAAATGTTCGTTTTGCCGTGCTAGGTCCATCGTTGGACTTGCATGGAAATACGTCTTCAAAGAATGATGCATTCCTTGACTCAATTATTGTGTTTTTATGTACATCCGGATTATTCGAATCGTACACTAAAAACCGATAAGCACTACTATTTTGTGCATATCCAATAAAAATACAGTCCACCGTTTTTGGACCTATTTTTATTTTCTTAGGTGTTGGTACAAGCACCTTAGCAAGACACCCCCACACTTTCAAATATTGATAGGAAGGCCGTCTGCCTTTCCACAACTCGTACGGAGTTTTATCATATTTTTTCCGGGGAACCTTATTTAAAAGGTAATTGCTTGTCAAGATTGCTTCGCCCCACATGTTTTGTGGCAAGCCCGAACTTACTAGCATCGCATTCATCATATCTTTCAATGTGCGATTCTTTCGTTCGGCAACACCGTTTGATTGAGGTGAATAGGGGGCGGTACGTTCGTGTACTATACCCACACTAGCGCAAAAGTCACCAATTGGTGCTTCATACTCACCACCTCGATCACTCCTAACCGTTTTAATCCGTCGATTAAGTTGGTTTTCCACTTCATTCTTATAAAGAATGAATCTATCGATTGCTTCGTGTTTATTTTTCAACAAATAAACATAGCTATAGCGAGTGCTATCATCGATAAAAGTAATAAAATATTTATTACCGCCACGTGTTTGTATTGATTTAAAATCACAAACGTCACTATGAATTAATTCTAGTGGTTCCGTTTTTCTTTCAACCGATTTGAAAGACGTTTTCGTTAGTTTTGCCTCAACACAAATATCACATTTGTGCTTCACATCAATTGTGAATTTAGGAATGTGTTCCATGTTAATTAATCTACGTATAGAATTAAAATTAACATGTCCTAGTCTACCATGCCACACATTGGAAGACTCAAGCAAGTAAGCAGAAGGGATTTTATTATTATTAATAATAATAGTCGTTACATTGAGCTTAAACAGCCCGTCACATGCATACCCTTTGCCCACATACATTCCCGACTTGGACAAAACTAATTTGTCCGACTCAAAAACCATACGAAAGCCATGCTTGTTCAACAACGAACCGGAAATCAGGTTTTTGCGTATCTCCGGAACGAACAGCACTTGGTTAAGAGTCAGCTCCTTGCCCGAAGTCATCTTCAGGACCACCTTGCCCACGCCTTCCACCGCGGAATGGGCTGAGTTTCCCATCCACACCTTCTCACCATTTGATGGTTCAAAGGTCGTGAATAGCTCCCGGTTTGAGCAAATATGCCGGGTAGCACCGGTGTCCACGAACCATTCATTGGAATTGGATCCAACGAGGTTGACCTCGGTCACCACGGCCGAGAGGATCATTTCCTCCTCCTTTTGAATCTCGTGGAAGATCATTTTAATCTTCTCAACTTGATTCACAACCGTCTTCGGATCCACCATTTTAAAATCAAGGAATCGACCAACAACAAATTTCTTTGTGCCGGCATCCTCGCTTTTATACTTGTGGTCCAAAGCATTCCATAGCTCCTTAGCCGTAGCTAATTTGCTATAAATGTCGTACAAAGCATCGTGCAGCCCGTTCAACACATAGTTTCGGCAAAGGAAGTCAGAATGCTTCCAAGCCTCAACCGCGTTGAGAGATTGCACATCTACCTCACTCCCGGTTACAACCAGCGCGTCCTCGGTCAAGAAACGTGCAAGACTGAGAGTAGTGAGATAAAATAGCATCTTTTGCTGCCACCTCTTGAAGTTTAACCCATTGAATTTCTCGGGTTTCTCCACAGAGTTGCTTGGCACGGTAACCATAGGGATAACCCTTTGGTTCAAAGCAGATGTTCCGCGTTGTGAACTATTGTTCACCGGAGCTCCGCTTTCAGAGTGATTATCGTTCAGAACATTCTGCCCAACACCAATCTCGTTTTCTTGAGAAGTCATTTTCATTTTCTTAACGTTTTTCCGAAAACACAAAAAGATTTAAGTTCGTTCACAGAAGTGACAAACTACAGTTGAAGATTGTATCCGTATGATACAAACTTAACAACAAAATACGTTTTAAGATTGTACCCGTATGGTACAAGCTTAAGCAAACAAATACGTTTTAAGATTGTATCCGTATGATACAAGCTTAACAAACCAAATACGTTTTAAGATTGTTGGGTGTGTTTCGGAAAATAAAGAAAATTAATTAAAATAAATTAATTAAATAAAATGACTAGAGAAAAACAAGAAAGGAGATGAAGCAGAATTAGTCAAAGCTCGTGCTACGCACGATGTCCTTAAAACGTATTTGTTGCCTCCCACGGTGCTAGGAGCGTTGCAACAATCGTTTCCCAGGATACGATGACTACGAACTAATGTTTGAGCACACAAACAAAAGTTCCAGCGAACGAGAACACAGTATGAACACAGGAGGAATTTGCAGATTGCTAGCAGTGTGTTTTTAGAGGTGCAAAACGTGTAGAATTCGTGTAAGAACGTGTGTTGTTGCAAACCACCTGCCAGCCATTATATAGGAGGATTTGTTGTGTGTAAATGGTGAATTAATAGACCTGAACGTTGGACATCAATGACCAGTCCGTTGGGCATTGAATCGTCCATGAACTGTCCATTTAACGCTGCATTAAAAGATATAAACGTTGGGCATTAATTGTTGTAACGTTTCAGAAGCGCGACAGAAGACCTCCATCAGAACACCCCGGGAGGGGTTCTGATCGGAGGCCAATCAGAAGACCCCAACTCTGATCCGCGGCCATCAGAGTACCCCCAACTCTGATGGGCGGCAATCAGAATACCCCATCTCTGATGGGCGGCCATCAGAATACCCCATGAGGGGTTCTGCCATCAGAACACCAACGAGGTGTTCTGATCCGTAGGCTTCTGTCCGAGCACTTCTGCCGCTGGGAAAAACGTTTCGGGAAGAAAACAAAAATTAATCGTATCTCTTGAGAGATAGATTTTTGGACGACATTCGTGTCCGCAGGTCGCCCGCGCACGCAAGTCGCGGTTTTTCTTCTCCTAATTCGGGATTTGATTTGCACCCCCCCCCCCCCCTGCGCGCGTGGAGAGAGCCTTTACCCTTAGGAATCTTAACTCCATAAGGGGGGAGTCCCTTTATAAAGGGTTGCAAATCCCTTGGGTTTTCCGGTGTGGGAAATTAACACTAGAAACCCATCCTTTTTCCCCAGTTTTTCCCTTCTAACGGGTAAACTTCGAAAAGCGATTTCTCATTCACCCGTTATCCGTTTTGAGCGTACCATATATCGAATTGTAGCCCTAAGCAAGGACAATCCGAAACCACTTTAACCCGACCCAAATCGGAAGTGGACCCCACTCAAAAAATTGCCCCAAAATAGCCATTTAATGCATTTTTTCACACATTTTTCCAACAATTTTTTCTAGGGAGTGAAGTATCGAGCCAAAATTTTTCTATACTCCCGCCCTATCTTTTTTATTTTCTACTTTCGAGAGTTTTTGTTCGGCGCCTTCTTTGGCTGAGAGTTTTGTCTGCTTCAAGTGTGTGATATGTTTTTCTCCTAGCGATGTCTATACTTCAACCTTGTTGCTCTGAAGCTTCAATTACTCGCTCTCCACCTGAACCATCGTCTCAATTTGGGAATAAGAAAGCGCTCAATGGATCTCTTTTTCGGTGATTGATCAAACCGATGATTCAGACAATTTTTGCTCGGTAGGGTTTCCTTTGCTGGTTGGTGGTCAAATCAATTCCCTTTTTTTGGTGGCTGATGAAGCCAAATTGTTTATTTGTATTTTTTTATTTTTTTATTTGGAGTACTATGTGCACCAAGAATGTTAGACTAGACTACATTATTGCGGGGTTAGCGATTTGGAATAATTTGTGAGAAGATTTTTTCCGTTCAAAATATCATTTCATTGTAGCTTTAGACTATTCATTCACATGCTTGTTTAGTATGATGTTACTAGTATTTGATTTTCAAAAGAAAGGAATAGGAAGAATAAGAAGATGAAACACATATTATTCCTATTTTACGAATAAGAAGAATGTAATCTTATTTTTTCATTTAAGAGTAACTTTTGTTTCTTTGGCATGGCATATGAGTTCTTCCATTCCGTCGTCCAAACTACCAAATTAAACTTCTCCATATACATATACCCCATGTGAGATGATTTAATTAATTAGACCATGATATAAGAGGTAGTGTGGAATTCGACAGGTAGACTGCTACTAAATGAAACACACACTTACGGTCGTGGGGTCGTGGCAAACTGGCAATGTACTTCGCTCAATCCATAAATATTCTCAGTTGTTTTTTACTCTCATCTGAGCCATTTTTTATTCTTTAGAAACAAAACTTGCATATGTACACAATTTTCGTTAACCATCTTCCCATATCCTTATCAAATATCTAGAATTTGTTATTAATTAAAAGCACTATTCGTCCGTACTTAAAAAATAAATACTTTGCTATTTAAACCATTTTGGTTAAATGAGAATGAGTATTTTTGGAATAAAATTCACTCCCACCAAGGAATGTAAGATAACCTAAGGGGGTGTATTGTATTGGGATTTGGTGGCAAAACTTTAGAAGTCCATGGACTTTGAAAATCTAGGTGTATTGAATATAGACTTTTAAAAGTCTATTAAAGTTTAGGTGTATTCAATTAGGACTTTTAAAAGTCAATAAAAGTATGAGTGTATTCAAAAACTTAACAAATTCTATGGATTTTTAAAAAAGTGGATTCTCGTGGATTTTCGAACAACTCGTATAAGTACCGATCCCAATCGATTGTCTCGTGCTCTCCTCAAAGATTTAACGCTGACTTTCCCATAGGGTTTTCTCGCCTCCTGCTTTCTCGTCTACCCCATCTAGCCAAGAACAAATCTTCCCAGGTACGTTGATTTTCCTCTACGAATCCTATATGTATGTTCTACTGGGTAACCTGTGTTATATAGATACGGACCATGATCTCAAGTATTCAAGTATGTTATATTCCTGCCTATTTCTATGTTATGTTAATTATTGCAAATTTTTGATATCATTATTCATGCTTGTGCTATATCCGACGTGTTGTTTCTAAACAAGAAAGACTGAATTCTTTTCCTCCTTGGAATTGCCTTGGGAAGCGCAAGTATATTACTCCGTACTTTTTATCCATAGGATCTTGGGACGGGTGGGGATGTTATGGGGGGTGGTGTTGCTAGAGTAAAAGATCACAAGGTTAAATATTTTAAGCTATAAAAATATGAAGTATATATGAATTAAAAAAAATTGTTGTTAAAGCATCAGCCACTTACATGTTTTACACATGAAAACGTGTTTTCTAATTCATAGCTTATAAATGTGCTTAATGTATATCTATAAATCTATAATAAAGTGCATAGCAAGATTTCGTATTAAACATTTTATAACTATAGATGAGTGATTATTTACAACAGAATTTGCTAAATGTATTTCGTTTTCTTTTCTTTATGATGTATATAGTACGGAGTATATCTACACACAGTCAACCGAAATAAAGAAATGAAGTAGTGATATACTGATATACAGAGTGATGATAATGTTTGACCTTTAATTAATTAGCTAAGCTATTTTTGAGTTGGGACTTGGGAGTAGTGCGTTCTACAATATCCACAAAAAGTATAGTCATTCCAGGTCCATATTTTCTTGTAGTATCCTAACTAGTTTCTATTTTCCTTATCATTCTTTCTACATTTTATTTACAATCAATTTGAGGGGTGACTTGTATTGTAGTTCTGGTCGATGGCAGGCGGTTCGTTTCTCTTCTATATGTATTTTTCAATTTTCATATATATACACGATCGATGGTCTCCGAAGTTGGGTTTGTGTTTATGTTTATGTTTATGTTTGAAAAAATCAAGCGATATGAGTTTGTGTTTATTGGTTGTGATTGATTTTACATGTCTTGTAGATGGGTGATTCACAAGGTAATGCCAAAAAAAAAAGGATTATAAAACTTGGACCATAGATGAGAGTAATGTCTTGCTTCAGCTAATGGTTGAAAGTGCCAAACTTGGCCTTCGTGATATAAATGGTGTGATAAGTAAACAAATGGTAGAGACCAGACTCCTTCCTAAACTTAAGGAAAAGCTTGGGTATGAAATTAGTTTTAATCATTATCAAAGTAGACTCAAATGGTTTAAAAAACAATACTCCAATTACTCTCAACTTATGCGTCACAACTCTGGATTCGGATGGCATGCGGCCACAAAGAAATTCACCGCTTCCGAAGAAGTATGGGCTGACTATCTGAAGGTGGGCATTTTTTTATTCATTTGTGTGTCTATTTTTTAACATCATAATAACAAACTTTATATTTTTTATATATCAATCACATAAAGAACATGCACACCTTCGGTCAGAAACTTGTCCGGACTATGAGGATGAGAATCACAGTGGGGAATGGAACTGCAACTGGGATGGGTGCAATTGGTCTTGGTGAAAATACAGATGCTACGGTGCTAGGAGTAGATGATGAATCAGGTGGAATTGGTGGCATTGATGGATTATTTTTTTATCCAAATACTAACACCTTCACACCGAGTGAAAATGCATCATCCCACCAGGAGGACTCATCATATCTTCCACAAGATGGTGGTAGAAATATAGAGGATCCACCTTCATCAAGCAATAGAGCTAAAGGAAAAAGGGGTAGAAATGATTTTGAGAACAATGGAAGAACAAAGGAACCTAATAGTCACAGAGAGGTTATTGAGAGCTTGTCAATGGGGTTTAATAAAATTGTTAAGAGTTTTGATAAAATTTGTTATTTAATGGAGAAGAGAGAAGCAAGGGACAATGATCTTTTGGATGCTATGAAAGAGACCCCTGGATTAACAGACGAGGATTGCTTTAAAGCTCTTGATTTGCTGAATACAAAAGCGAAGCAAGATTTCTTTTTAAGGATGACTCCTGAACAACACTATCACTGGATCGTCAATCGATAAACAACTTCATTAGATTCGTCCTCTAGAGATATTTAATAATAAATAGGCCATGATTGCATATTTACTTTATCTATTCTATTGTTGGAGTGATTTAATTTATTTGAGGTGCAAAGATATGGATTATTTGAACTATGTTATGTATTATCCGTTAGAATGCTTTTATTATAAAATATATCATAGTTCACTTTTTAAAGTTTATGCCTTTTTTCTTCTTTTAGCAATGTGTGAAATAGAAATGTATGGAGCAAATGAAGATGAGGTTGAATTTTATGTGTCACGCCCCAGACCGCAATCCAAGCGCGTGTACAACCGCCGTATAACTAAGTGACGTCACCCACGAGTCAACCTCACTTAATTACACAAGGCGTTCGAGAAAACAATCCATCCATACTCAGTAGTAAACATACATAACAACATCACATTCAAGCCAATGAATAGCGGAAATATTCAACGGTAAGTCATAGGCCACAACCGGCCAACAACATGGGCATGCAAGCCCCAAAAATAGTTTATAGTAGAGCAAATATCCATGAGCAAGTGTTCGGTAGGTTGAAAGAAAATAAGGAAGCACGAACCACGTCTTCCTGATGTGATATCACCCGCGAGAAGGTGCAAGTAGCAAGCTCTAGCTTCAACCTGAAAATGGTGGGGCCCCCCGAAGGTGTAACACCGTCCCCAAATATATTTACTTTTATGTAAATAATGTATTGAACCTTATTAAAGGATTAATGAATTTACGAGGTTGTAAATTTTTTATTATTTCTTTCGCGTGAATAGTAAATTGCACGTGGGACCCACACCCGGAGCGGGGGCCGCCCGACACTCCCGAGACCACATATTTTATTCATCTTGGTCAAGATAATATTTACATAGTGGTGGATATTTTTTTTGGGTCGTGAAAAGGCGCAGAGTTGACCGATTGGGAAAAAGAGGCCCAATTACCGGTACCGACAATTTAACAGATAACAGCCCGGAAATGAATTTCGGAGGTTTATAAATTAAAGTTGGGGAATGTATATTCATTATACATGTCATAATGAGTAAGAGCACATAATATATTTTATTTGACCTGATAAAATAAAATATATTTAAAACAGTCCGAAAAATACAACTTTCGGGACCGATTGTACACATCGGGACACAAAGGGATGACCTCCCACATGAGTGGGGGCCACCCCACGTTTTTATGTGCTAAACACATCAATTGAGAGCTGGGTTGACAAGAGGAAATGAGGAGGAGATGCATTTGGCATCAAAAGTACAATGGGGAGGACCCATTCCCACATTATTTTGAGAGAAAAGCCAAAGAGGCTATCTCCTCACTCACCCACCCCATAATTTCGGCCAAGGCACACCAAGAGAACAAGGAGACCTCTGCAAACTCATCTTCCATAGCCAAAATTCGAGCTCAAGCCATAGGGTTCCAAGAAGGAAGATTAAAGAGGGAAAAAGTTGGGAAAAGTGTGAATGATTAAGGTAATGACCTTATTATGACTTCTTCTCTATTTTGCTTCTACCTTATGAGATACATATCATGTGAAGAATCCTTAAGAGGGTTCTACATGTTATAAGTATGGATTAATGGATTGGAAAGTGAGTCTACGTCCAAGAACGGACTTAAAAGCCAAAACGACCGGTTCACCGGAAAATAACCTTTTATAGGTTATTTGTATTGATTAAGGTTTTATGATGTTAAAACCTTGTTAGGCACTTGTAAAGGGTATTTCAAGTGATTTCACAAAGTTGGAAAAGTCGCCGGAGTTGTCGCCGGAGTTGACCGAAAGTCGCCGGAGTTTCACCGGAGTTCAACCAAGAAGGGTAGAACTTCATAACGCTAGTTCAAGGTGAGTGGACGGCTTAATATCTTATAACTTTTGGGTTAATTATGAGATTACCTAAATAAATGTTATATGAGTTCATAATAATGTTTAAAAGATATTTAAACATGTGATTAGCCAATAGGGTTAAGTTTGTATGAAAGAAATTAATTGTTGATGCATGGAATATGATATGAAGAATTATATGAAATGCATATTTGCTTGAAGTGTATTAGAAGCACAAATGAATATTATTAACTTAATTATATGATGATTAAGTTGATACACACAAGGCATGAAATGGCGGTCAACGAAAACGTGGACCGAAGAACAAAGGATTTAATTAATACCGGTTGGTATTAATTAAATATAAATCTATATAAATGCATGGTTTTGCATGGATTGTGATACATAAGAATTTATGCATTGGATTAGTTATGAGTAACTAAGTATGATATAGACTCTATCTAGGTTGATAGGAGGTTGATAATAGGAAAACTTGGTGGAGGACCCTAGTACTTAAAAAGTACTTAACACTCAAACTTGGTGGAGGACCCTAGTACTTAAAAAGTACTTAACACTCAAAACTTGGTGGAGGACCCTAGTACTTAAAAAGTACTTAACACTCAAACTTGGTGGAGGACCCTAGTACTTAAAAAGTACTTAACACTCAAACTTGGTGGAGGACCCTAGTACTTAAAAAGTACTTAACACTCAAACTTGGTGGAGGACCCTAGTACTTAAAAAGTACTTAACACTCAAAACTTGGTGGAGGACCCTAGTACTTAAAAAGTACTTAACACTCAAACTTGGTGGAGGACCCTAGTACTTAAAAAGTACTTAACACTCAAAACTTGGTGGAGGACCCTAGTACTTAAAAAGTACTTAACACTCAAACTTGGTGGAGGACCCTAGTACTTAAAAAGTACTTAACACTCAAACTTGGTGGAGGACCCTAGTACTTAAAAAGTACTTAACACTCAAAACTTGGTGGAGGACCCTAGTACTTAAAAAGTACTTAACACTCAAAACTTGGTGGAGGACCCTAGGACTTATGAGGCCTTAACACTCACAAACCGGTGGAGTATCCGAGGATTTTGATCCTAAAACTCATAGATTATGATATACAAATAGGGACAAGGAGGAGTCCTATACACTCATAGGTATATGGGTGGGTTGGGGTTTTTAGTCAAGAATATTGACTAATACTATTTTTCCCAAATAAAATGGTGATCTACGGATCGGATATTTTCCAAGTATATATATACTAATAAGTATTTCATAACTTGGGGGAAAGACTATCTATTTAAGTATCACCCTATGTTTGGGTCTTATACTTGAAACGCTAGTTATTCTATATTTAGCCTGCTACTCGCTCGGTACTTGTACTGACCCCTTCGGGGGGCCCCACCATTTTCAGGTTGAAGCTAGGGCTTGCTACTTGCACCTTCTCACGGGTGATATCAAATCAGGAAGACGTGGTTCGTGCTTCCTTATTTTCTTTCAAACTACCGAACACTTGCTCATGGATATTTGTTTTACTATAAACACTTTTTGGGCTTGCATGCCCATGTTGTTGGCCGGTTGTGGCTCATGACTTACCGTTGAATATTTCCGCTATTCATTGGTTTAAATGTGACGTTGTTATGTATGTTTACTACTGAGTATGGATGAATTGTTTTCTCGAACGCCTTGTGTAATTAAGTGGGGTTGACTCGTGGGTGACGTCACTTAGTTATACGGCGGTTGTACACGCGCTTGGATTGCGGTCTGGGGCGTGACAATTAAGTGGTATCAGAGCCATCTCAGTTCTAAACTATATAATCAACCTCTCACAAAAGATTTTACAAAAGAGTTCTTACCGAAAACCATGAGCATTGTATTTTAACGTTTATAGGACTATTGGTGCTTAAGTTGCAAGGCCTCTAATTGTTAAGACGGTACCCTTAACAATTGGTATGGTGGTGACTTGGGTCGATACGTGTCTATAACGTTTTTCTGTCAATTGACATTCATAGGAGTCTAAAGACTCGTCCAAATTCCGTTTCAGAAATGGAGGGTAAGCGAATGGCAACAAGAAATGACCCTAAGGGACAAGCGTCGGTAGCTTACCTTGAGGCTAGCCGGGCTGTGTCACGAGCCTTTACGGGGAGAGGAATAGGCCATGGGGGCCGTGAGGGCCGCCAAGCGGCAAACGCTAATCAAGTGGGCTCGATGTGTAACATGAACACCAGGAGGAACGAACGTAGGCGTCAGGCGAGGCGAGATCGGGCCACCTCCCAACGTGATATGACTGTCAGCCAAACCCATCCTTGGGCAAACGACCAAGGAGGAGAAAGCACTCTTACGGCACCGGCATCACCGGTGAAAAAGAAGAGGAACTCAAAGTGGCACACGTCCTTTCCTAACTCCTTAAGACCATCCAAATGTTCTAATTGCTCTAAGAAACATTTTGGAAAGTGCAACGAGCCCCCGATGTGCTACAAATGTGGGAGCACAACCCATATGAAATTAAGTTGCCCATGGAGGAGGCAACGAGAGACATTGCAAGCCGAGGAAGGGCTCACCGTGGAAGGAAACCATACGGAACCAACGATGAGCAACGCTACGTCCGTCAATCAAGGCGGGGCCCAAGCAAGGGTCTACGCAATGACCGAGGCGGATGCGAGAGCAAACCCGGACTCCGTTGCAGGTAAACACGTATTCCCATGTATTTCTAGGCTTACTTTGGTCATATACGTCGTTGGGATTGAGTGCGGGCCACCCCGGGGTCAAACCGGGTGAGTTAGGCCGAATCGGGCTGGAAACAGCCACTGCTGGCCAGGCACGCCCGCAGGCACGCCGTGCCTGGCATCGTGCCTGGAAGGCAGTGGCACCCGGAGAAGAAGAAAAAAAAAAAAAAAAAAAATTGGGCCAGGCACGGCCGCAGGCACGCCGTGCCTGGCGTCGTGCCTGGAAGGCAGTGTGTCCGAAGGAATTTTTGGCCAGGCACGGCCGAAGGCACGCCGTGCCTGGCATCGTGCCTGGCCGGCAGTGGCAAGCAGGGTGAGATTGTTGCACGCACGGCCGTGCGTGCCACCCAGGCACGCCGTGCGTGGACCCCCAACACCCGAAAGTTGATTTTTTCGCCCCGTTCTTCTACGTTTGGACCCCGTTTGTTTCCAAACATTAGTATTAACTTAATAACCTCCTAAAGATGTGTAAAAACACTAGAAAATGTATCTTACATGGTGTATAAATGTAGGAACATTAAAGATCAATGGTAGGTGTGCGAGGATCCTCATCGATACCGGGGCACAACGCTCATTCGTGAGTGAGGCGTTCGCCGAGGGCCTTGGCGTGCCATTGACA